GGCTTTCTTCTGACTCTGCACTCAGGGATCACTCCTAGTAGGCGTGGGGGGCACCACATGGGGTACTGGGGGTCATATCCAGATTGGCCACATGCAATGCAAAAATGCCTTGCCCATTGGACTATCTCTCCACCCTTGCATTTGAATTTTTTATTAATAAGTTCATATAGTACATATTGGCTGAAAGTTAAAATTGTCATTTAAGAACTAATGATATAAGAAGTCCACAGTAATGTATTTAGTGAAGTTAGAATACAGGTATTTTGTATTTTATAAAGAATCTCTTATGCAGATGATCTTGATCACTTGGTCACTTGATGTCCCGTTATTCATTGATTCGCTCGAGCGGGCGCCAGCAATGTCTCCATTCATCCCTATCGCGTGCTATTGTAGCCCAATGGCATCTGCTCATTCTAGGAACACGAAGAGCCTCAAATCGATCATTCAGGGTCTTGATAAAGAAGTCTGATCATCTCATAAGTGGACGGACACATGATCTTTTGATGTCCCGTGGAATCCAGTCCGTAATGGCTCTAGTCCAGCAGTCATCTCCAAATTTCATTACGTGTCCAGCCCATCTGATTTTCGACGCCTTGGCAAATGAGACAGCATCCCTGATTCTTGACCGTTGAAGAAGGTGGAAACTTCGGATTCTTTTCTCTCATTTGACTGAAGCATGATACTCAAGCATAGCTCTTTGGATTCCTCTTTGGGAGACTCGAATAGCGTTCTCATCATGTTTGTGTAGGGCCCAGGTCTCTGAGGCATATGATAATGCAGGAAGAACAGTGGAATCGAAGAGATGTGCCCGGAGCCAGAGGTTCTTTGTCCTCTTAGCTATTTCTTCAACATTCTTGAAGGCGTTCCAAGCCACTCTCTTTCTCCTGCGCAAGTCAGGTGCCAGGTCATTCGTCATGTTGACTTGTCGACCTAGGTACACATAACTGTTGCATTCGGAGATATTCATCCCATTGAGAGTGAATGGAACGTCAGGAACGAGACCATTTCTCGAGAAATGCAGGTGATCGTTGCTTATAAAATGGTATAACAAAAAATAAACGAAACTATAGTCTCTTCTAGCAAGGCTAATAATTTCGAGAGAGGAGTGCTGTAGATGAGGTCTTGCTTTGGTGGCAGGTCTATCTTATCTATCTTTCAGGTTATAGTTACAGGCAAGAGCTTCTAGATAGAATCACTGAAGCAATTTACTTCTTTTGCTTATCTACAATCTTGCAGATCTTACAGCTTATAGTTTCACTTGCCACCAGAAGTCAGGGACACGCTCAGATTAATCAGAGATTTTGGAAATAATGCAGAAAAGTATCACGGCTTGAGAATAATACGTATTAGTGCTTCCTATGAACTTAATGCCTAAACTGTTTAAGGACCAAAGAAATAGGCCAGGAGTTAATGGGCTGACCTTGCTTGCTGCCAACCTGGTTCTATCCCCAGCCGCACATGATTCCCCCAACCACCACCTGGAGTGATCTCGGAGCACAGAGCTAGGAGTAACTGATTACTGCTGAGTATGGCTCTGAAACTACAGCAACCAGCAAAGTTTGTTTGATTTGCTCTTCACGGCCACTTTTTGAAACTTGTACTGAGAAGTCTTGGGTGGGCTAAATTAGATCTCTGTGGGAAGTCGTTCCTAACCTCGAGTACCTCTCTTATGTCTTTAGGTTCGTCTCAGCAGACATAAAGCAGTTCGACGTTCTACACTTGCCCTAAACAGCTCCCAGTGCCAGGAACTGGCAAACTAATATTTTGGTTTCAATGGATGGTCTAAAAGGATTGTCAAGGTAGGAAGCGGGGAGAGAGTTCAAGTGCGGAACTTGTGCCCACCGTGTTCAAGGCCCTGGGTTTTCTCCTGAGTATTGCACGACTCCCAGCTGTGTGGGGTGTTACCCCAGCGGGCTCAGAGAACCTACAGACCAGATAGATGAGAGTCGTCTAAGTGAAAGTGTTGGACCACCGGTCACACCCCAGAATCAATAAGGTCTCAGTGAGTTGACGGTGGTGTCCATATTCTACAAGTCTTGTGTGCTCTGTATGTTCATGGCTGGGAAGTTTTGTTTAATGTTGAAGTCACAGGTTACTTCAACGGTTGGCAAGGATTGCTGGAGTTTCGTTTTTATTTCTAATTAAACTTTTTTTTCCAGAAATATGTTTTTGTTTTTTAGAATTTTATAGTGAAACACCATGAGGTACATTTGTAGATTTACAAATATTTGTGCTTGGGTTTCAGTTATACAATGATCGAATACCTATCCCTCCCACCCCCCCATCCTCCCCATCCCACCCTGCCTCTGTGGCAGGGCATTTCCCTTAGTTCACTCTCTCCTTTTGGGTGCTGTGGTTTGCGAAAGAGGCATTGAGTGGCATCTATTTAAACATTTTAAAATCTACATTGAGATGTTCAGAAGGACCTTCAATCTGAACTCTTAACAGCTTCAGGATCTTTCTGAACTTGAAGAAAGGGAAAATGAAGATATTGTGGCACCACTTCAGAAGCAAAGCGTGAAGATCTTCTGTGCTTTAGAGGTGGTTTTGTCGTCCTTTGGCAAGAGCCCTGGAGTTGGCAGAGCCGAGGAGACTTTGGATAAACTGGAAGGTCTCTGTGGGGACTGGAATGGGGGTGTGGGTAAGAATTCATTCTCTCTCTCCCTCTCTCTCTGTCTCTCTCTCTCTTTCTCTCTCTCTCTCTCATCATATTTTCAGATACATCACAAACTGCCCTCTCCTTGCTAAGTAAGCTGCTAAAGACATGGGCCGATGCTTTTAATAATACTTGTTTAAATCTTAGGTAGTAACCAACAGAACCTTTTCTTTTTGGTGGGGGGAAGGACCTGGGAACCCTTCACAATTTTAGAGCTGTCTGCTTACCAAGAACCTTAGGGGTATAGGGATGGGAATAGTGCTTCTCCTATTTGGGGGTAACAGTCTTCTTTGTTACAAAGTAATTTTTCAAATACAGATCATGTGTAATTGTCTGTTATCCCAGCGAAATCTTCATTTTGACAATGAAATACCCAAATAAAAATGTTTTTCCCCCCAGAATCTGTGGCATTTAGGCTTAGGGTATTAAATTAAAGGCAGCACTGTTAGTGAAAGAACTGGAACAGACTCTGGTAAGTGAATCTTAATGAGACCAGCTCATCCTTGGTACTAGCAAACCTTTCTCAAGCTCCTGAAATTGATAGGTGATAGGGCAGACATTCGAATGGGTTGTCACTCCCTGTGGGGGGTGCGGGCGTGCCATCTGTCTGAGGTTATCTAGTCACCATCACCAAAGCCCCTTGCACCTGCCTCGTGGCCAGAACCAAGGGGAGGCTGACCAGATTGGCGCTGATCTGAGAAATGTGCGCATCCCCTGGGAAGGGGGTCAGCGCCCATCTGCATGTATTACCTCTAGAATTACCACAGTTATCCAATTCGGTTACTCCTAGCTGCGGTATCCAGATGGCTCGGGCTTGCTTTGAACACTATAATTTTTGCAAAGTAAAGGACTCCATGCCAGACCGTTTTCACTCAGGGCACCCCAGAGAGGGGCGGGTGAGGGTCCTTCCCATCCCAAGGGACCCTGCCCGGCGGCCGATCTCCACTACCCAACCGCCGCCACTCTCCAGGCCAGGCCACTTTCACATTATAAGACACTTCCTACCCATTTTCCATAATTGCCACACCATGTTTGATGGGGTTCAGACAGTAGGCAACAAATCATAGAGAGAAATATATAAATATTTGCGTCTCGGAGAGCCTGGCAAGCTGCCGAGAGTATCCCGCCCACACAGGCAGAGCCTGGGAAACTCCCTGTGGCGTATTCGATATGCCCAAAATAGTAATGACAACAAGTCTCATTTCCCTGATCGTAAAAGAGCTCCAATCATTGGAAGAAGCTGCTAAAATCTCAGGACTGGGAGGAATAGAGACGTTACTGGCGCCCACTCGAGGAAATTGACAAACAACAGGATGACAATGATACAGTGATTATTATAAAGTAATTTTTTTATTTTTATAAAAAATAAAAATATTTGACTAAATTTAATATTCAAACGCCAATCCCACGACCATTACACCTTGCTACCACCATATTTTGTGTGTTTCCATCCCGAACCCAAACCCCTGCCCCAAGCAGAACCGAAGCAATTTATTTTGTATTGTGTGTTCTGAATCAACTGCTGAAAATGCTTCACAAAAGTTTCCTTAGAGGAAAGTGTGTGAAGATTGTTCTATTTCCCCCAGGGACCATTGATTGTTCTATTTGCCGTAGGGACCATTAAGCCCTTAAATAAGAGATTATTGACATGTTGTTAATGGTTGAGCTGTGTGTGTGTGTTTGTGTGGGTGTGTGTGTGTGTGTGTTTGGGTGTCTATGATACACACTCCTGTAAAAATATATTTTCCTCTGATTCGTAGCCTTCTACCTTAAACTCCATCAATTGTGGTTTGCTGCTCTTGGAATATTAGTGGTGTGAGGTATGTCAAGTTCCTAGAATAGTCTGTAGGTTTGCCCATTTGAAATACGTAATCAGTATGAGATTTGTGCACTGATCTTGACTAATTTCTCCCTTCTAGTTTACCTGTTTACGAATGTCCAGAATTGATCAGATAGCTAAAATGTATGGTAATAGCCCTGACAGAATATACTTAGCACAGAGCCTTCAAGACATAGCCTTGTGTGGTGCCTTCCCTTACTCATTAAGATCGTGATGTAGTGCTCTTTTTGTTTTTTTTTTATTTTTATTTTTTTTAACTTTTTTATTTTTGGGGTTATACCCAGCGATGCTCAGGGGTTATTCCTGGTTCTGCATTCAGAAATTAGTTCTGGCAGTGCTGGGAGGACCATATGAGGTGTGGGGGCTCGAACTCGGGTCAGCCGCATATAAGGCAAACGCCCTAGCCTCTGTACTAGAGCTCCAGGCCCAGTTCTGTTTTTAGACTTCATAAAAATCAATTAGAAAGATTGGCGTAGTAAATCTATTTGTTTTGTTTGGATGTAGGACCATTATCTTTCCTTATGAAAAGGAAGACGACTCAGAAGTTTGCTATTCAAAAGACCGTGTCAGATGCATTTCAGAAACTGCTCATTGTGGTTTAGGTAAGACTTTGTTGGTTATCTTTGAAGTACTGCAGCTTTCTTACTTGACGAGCAAGTAAATTGATTTTGAGAAGTCAATTATATTGAAAATAATGGAAATATAAGTACTTCCTATTCCTTTGTTTTTTAGATGCTTTACAGAGTAGTCTCAAATTTGTCCTTTGTGGAATCTGTGAAAAATAATTACAGCAAATATTACTCCCAATGTATAAACGTAGAATAGTTTAGACTGTGGAGAGAGTATTTGATCCAATTCCTCTTTCTCAATTGTTTGTCAGTAAAGCAGAAGAGTATAGTGGCTGTAAACTCCAGACTCCTCTGTTTAAGTACTAGCTCTGTCCTCCATTTTTTTTCTTTTTTCTTTTCTTGGTTTTTGGGCCGCACCTGCTGATGCTTAGGGCTTCCTCCTGGCGATGTGCTCAGGAACCACTTCTAGTAGGACTCGGGGAACCACATGGGGTGCCAGGGACTGAACCTGTGTTGTCTGCATGCAGAGCAAATGTTCGACCCATTGTAATAGTACTCTGGCCCTCTGCCTCTTTAGAAAATGCAACAGTGGGTCTCTAGACAGATATGTGAAGGTATTTCTAAGCCGCAATTGTCTTTTCTTTCATTTGCGTTTTGGGTCACACCCAGGGATGCTGAGGGGTTACTCCTGCCTCTGCACTCAGAAATTATCCTTGTCGGAGCTCGGGGTCCACATGGGATGCTGGCAATCGAACCCAGGTCAGCCGTGTGCAAGGCAAACACCCTCCCTGCTGTGCTATTGCTCCAGTCCCTTTTTTAATTTAGCTTACCTTATATTGTAAAAGTAAATACTTAACACTTACCTAGAACTGCACTCATTTGCGGAATATAAAGTAACAGAATGGGATGACTAACACCCAAGGATAGTAGAGATAGGGACCAGGAGGATTGCTCCACGACTTGGAAGCCAGCCTCACATGCTGGGGGAAAAGGCAGCTCAGATAGAGAAGGGACCACCAAGTAAGGGATGCTTGGAGGGCCCATTCGGAATAAGAGATGTGTGCTGCAGGTAGACTACAGGCGGAACATGATGGCCACTTAATGCCTATATTGCAAACCACAACCCCCAAAGGAAGAGAGAGGTTGAAAGGGAATAGGCCTGCCATGGGGGGTGGGGGGTGGGGGGTGGGTGGAATGAGGGAGTCGTGGGAGGGATACTGGGAACACTGGTGGTGGAGAATGGGCACTGGTGGAGGGATGGGTACTCAATCATTGTATGACCGAAACATAAGCACGAACGTTTGTAAGTCTGTAACTCTATCTCACAGTCATTCATTAAAAAGAGAAAGAAAGAAAGGGGCTGGAGCAATAGCACCTTGGGTGGGGTGTTTGCCTTGCATGCAGCTGACCTGAGTTCGATTCCCAGTATCCCATATGGTCACCTAGCACCGCCAGGAGTGGTTCCTAAGCGCAGAGCCAGGAGAAAATCCTGAGCATTGTTGGGTGTGACCCACAAAAACAAAAAAATAAGAAAAAGAAACATTACATAATAAAAATAAAATAAATAAATGTTTAAAGAGACTTACCTAGAATTTAGTAAAGGACGAAATATTCTAATTATTGCTACTATTTTCCTACTGAAGAGGAAAATTAACTGGAATCAGTTCGTGGTTGGTTTTCAGCACTGACATATTGAGAGTTTGTGATTCGATGTACCAACCAACTATTTGTTGTGAACCTTCACAGTGATTCTGCTGCGGCCAGGAAGATAGCTAAGAGGCCTAGTGCACATGCTATGCATGTGGAAGGCCAGGTTTGGATTCCTGGCACAACATTAGCGTCCAGGAGCAGCCCCCAAGTACTTCGGTCAGGAGAAGACTTAACACTGCTGGGTGTGGCCCCCAACAAAAACAAATAGTGGTCATACTATTTAAGATTTTTAAATGTTCTCCTCTTATGGAATTTTCTAGTGCTATGGATATTTCCGGCTGTGCCCAAAGGAAAGTGAATAATCTGTAGAGAGTCCACAAACAGAATTGCTTTCCTTGCTTTATAGCCCTGCAGTCTTAGAGAAAGGAATTTTCAGTTGTCAGAGACCTTATTTATTACACGAGTAGCTCCTGGGTTGACTTCAGCCTTGCAGTCTGGGCAATTTTCTAGCAAAAGAGACTTCTGTGGTCATCTGGTAAAATTTCTATCAACTATAATAACTTTTAAGAACCAATGGGGGATTAGGAAGATGGTACCAGAGCCTTGCATATCCCTGGCACGGCATATGGTCCCCTCTAGTACCATCAGGGAGCACAGAGCCAGGAACAGTCGCTGAGTACCAGAGGGTAGGATCTGCAAACCCCAGATAAAAAGAAATGAAAGAAGGAGTGGGTTGGAGAGATAGCTCAACAGGCTGAGCACATTCTTGGCATGCAGGAAGCAGGTTTCAGTTCCAGCTCAGCACTGCATTGCCAGGAATGACTCCAAGTACTAAGTGGGTATAATCCCTAAGCACCTTTGAGAATGGCCTCAGAACAGAGAAGCAAAAGGAACCAAACTTAATGTCTGCATTGACAAGGAAAATGCTCTTATTTTATGCTTTAGAAATAAAATTATTGGACGTATAAAGGAAGTACACACCCACTATCACTGTGCACTACCTTTATAGAAAGAACATTTTAGCCAATAAGTTTGAATTGATCCTTGTTAACTTTATTTCAGAAAGTGGTAAAGTAGCTGTGGAATATCGGCCTTTTGAGGAGCTCACTGATGCCAGAACCGAAGGACTACATGATTTAATTCAAGTATGTGAAGAGAAAAACTCAAGGATGACATATACAGGATGTCTGTAATTCAAAATAATGAGCAGATTTTAGAAATTTTGAGCATGTGTAGGCAATTCTAGCACCCCCAGAAAAATATGAAACTCTCAAACTTTATTTGAGGGAATTTCTGAATTTTCCCTGAAGTCCTAGCCATTGGTTCTAAAGCCTTCTTTGAAATGTGGAGAGTTCTGAGTGCCCTCTGAGTTCTGTCAGAGAAATACCTTTTTGAACTCCTCTTAAACAGGATCTAGGGATTTGGGGCCTTAAGTACAATTATGTTACAGCATTCGAAAAGTTATCATTTTTTTCAAATATGATTTCATACCTAGAGCTTAGCATCTCATATATATCTTGTATGAAATATTTTATGAAAGAACCTTTCTGTTCAACAGTTGCACAGTATTCCACATTAGGAATTAACTTGTTAATTTCCAGGAGAACATATGAATACACTATGTGTGTATTCTAGGGATGGTGGGGGGCGGCAAAATGTGTTTAATATCATTGGGAACAAATTTGGAGTTGGATATATGTAATTAACATGGCTCAAAGTCAGAAAAGTTGTTTCCAAAGTTAGGGAGTTAGGGGAAGATAAAGAGAGAAAAGGTGATTCTGTTCCTCTTGTTGAAAATCTGTTTTTTTCCTTTGTAAAATAAATTTTATTTGTGGGTAAGGTAGCGGGATTCACACTTGGTAGCGCTCAGGAATTACCCAGCCTGGCTCTTTGTTATAATCACTTGTCGAAGTGCTCGAGGGACCAGGTGATGGTAGGGATCAAATTCAAATCTTTCTTGTGCAAAGCATGTGCTCAATCTTTTGAACTATTGATCTAGTCCTGCAAAGAACTTTTTTAAATAGTTTAAATCAAACCCACCAAGAAAACTTCCAACACCTACAATTGGGTCTTAAAAGACTTAGCTTAGGAGCCTGAGACATAGTTCATCAGGCTGGAGCATGGACTGTGATGAGGGACACCTGGGTTTGATACCTGCCACTGCATGGCCTCCTGAGCACTGTCAGGTACAGCGTCAAACACCTCCAGGTGTGGCCCCCAAAGAGACAACAATGTCCACCTTACTAAGAAAGGTGAGAAGACATTTCGTACTAATGCCAAAGAATTCAGAAAACGAACATCCATCCCTAAATGAGGCTACTCTTGGAACCAACTCCATTCGGGGCTCTCTACTCAACTAGAGAGCGGGAAGAAGCCCCTTCTCATGGAATTTATATTCTGGAAGTGTGAGATAATAAAAACTGATATGGATGAGAAGAAGGACTGTGAAGCAAGTAAAATGGGTGCTAGTTACAGTATTGCAAGAAAGCCTTTTCACTTTCTGACGTGAACATCCTAAGTGTTCCCTCCGAGTGCTAGAAGGGCAGCCCTCTAGAAAGGAGCTTGCTCCTTTTTCTCCATGAATTTATGTTGAGTTCCATGCAAGAAAGGGGGATTTCCCCCCAGGCTGGTGTAAAGGAGTGCATATGGCTGTTCATTCCGTTCAAGAATGGTCTCCCAGAATCAACTGTTTCTGGCCCCAGAGCCCTGCTTCAGAAAATTTTGGGTCCCTGATTCCATGCTATCCCCTGTCTAGGAGAGTGATAAATAATCAGAGAGACTAAGAGCTTAAAGGAAATGACAACATTTGTGAACCCCCACCCACCCGAAGTAGTGCTCCTCTTGCAGGTCAACTGCCTTTCTTGGAAGCAGGATGGCCAAGGGGAGGACGAATGTCTCTTGGATTTCAGTAGTGAGGAGGAAGCACCAAGACCACCACAGCTGGATTAGTGCTGTTGAATTCACCAGTGTTCCCTGTCTGGGGACAAGCTGCTCCTCCCCCACCCTTGGGGCTCCGCCCAAACGAGTGGGCAGTCCCAGTCCTGTTGGGTGGCAAGAGTGGGAGGGGAGGCAAGGGGGGTGGGGTAGAGGACCTGATTGGATGTGTTTGGTGCCTTGGGGGAAAAAGGAAAGCCTGGGTCCTGCTGGCTTTGAGGAGCCTGCTTTGCCCAGATCCAATAAAGGCGCTTAAAGGCTCATAAAGGTGGTGAGGGGTGGGTTCTGCGGTTGCCAAGGGCCTGTGGTTGCCAAGGGCGTGGTTGATAAGGGCATGCACGGGCAGCGCCCATCTGCCTTAATTCCTTAGCCATGGATGTGGCAATAAAAATACTAACAATTCTTTTCTCTACCCATATACAGGGCGCTCCTCTCCGGGGGAGAGTCCTACCCCCAGTCCCCCTGGCCCCCAGCCCCCCAGGCCCCCCCAATCCCTGGCTTTCACCTTCCCCTGATCCTGCCGCTGAATCACCCCCTACCCTTCGGCCCCAGATTTCCAAACTTCTCAAGTATATTCTTTCCCCCGAAAACCGGGGGAAGGATCCAGTTCACCGTGGCCATCCTGCTGAAGGTATTGTAACTCCCAGGAAATCTATGAGACCTCGTCGTCTACCACCACCGACGCAGGAGGATTACTTAGATTCCTCTAGGTCTCACCAGTTTTTTATTCCACACCTTGGTTTCACTGACAAACCGGCAGCACATCGGAGGCTCGCAGGTGGAACTATTTCCGAACTTCTCACTTATCTTCTTTCCCCTGAGAACCGGGGGAAGGATCCAGTTCACCGTGACCATCCTGCTGAAGGTATTGTAACTCCCAGGAAATCTATGAGACCTCGTCGTCTACCACCACCGACGAGTATGGATATGGATATCTTTTATCCTGAGGGGAGTCAACCTTTGGTGGGAGATTCAGAGAAACATCCACAGATCCGTCACAAGGCTGGATCCTTTTCACCCCAGCCTCAGCATCCAGAAACCTTTGAAGAGCTAGAACAGCTTCCCTTTAAGACCCTGGAAGCTGAACTTTCAGCAAGCACACAACAGAGCCCAGCTGCACTTCTAGGATCTCCCGAGGAATCAAAACCTCTGGTAGTTCCAGACTCAGATTTGCTGTCAAGTACCCCTGAAAAGGGTGATACTGCTTCAGTCCTGCCAGAAACCCTAGTTCAGCCTACATTGGCTTCCGAGGAGAGAGGATCTTCAGTGCCTCAGGAGGTGGAAGCTCAGCCTTTAGAGTCAGGACTGGAACTTGGAGCGCGTGATCAGGAAAACAGAGTGTCACCGATACCAAAGGAAGTCCATCTTTCAAATACAGCTACTGTCACCATCAAACCTGCCTATCTGCAGATTCCCGGAACTCCAAGGGTCCCCAGTGAGGGGGAAACATCAACCCAGCCAGAAGCCCTAAATATCACTCGCACTGCAGAACGCCTTAGGGAAAAGAAACAATCTCTAGCCCAAGAGGAGGCCCAGTTTGCGGTACTAGAGAGCCCTGACAGTGGCTCTGCCATACGGCAGGAGACAGTGCCTCAAGCTCCAGGCATCCCTGAGGTGACTGAATCTTCAGTCCAGCAGAATCCCCTAGCTCAGCCTCCTGAATCCCCTATGGAGTTTGAAGCTCAACCATTTCTGCATTCTGAAGAAAATGTTCCACCTCCAAGTCAGAATGAAGCTCTAAGCTTCAATTTACCCCAGGTCACTGCTAAACCTATGGGTGTGACATTTCCTTTATATACAGAGTTCAATAATGAGGTCAGACCATCAGACCATCCTGAACATGTGTCATCACCAAGTAAGAATGAAGCTCAGCTCTTAAATGTTCCCAGTGTGAGGGGAAAACTTGTGGGTATGACAATTAACATGTTTCCAGAGGTCAGTAATGAGGTTCGACCTGCTCCAGAGCAGCACGAGGTCTCAGCTCAGCCTCCAAGTGAAGTTGACCTTTCAAACTTGCCCCACGTCACTGTAAAACCTGTGATGGTGACAATTTCCATAGCTCCAGAGGTCATTAATGGGGTTCAGTCCTCAGTCCAGAAGGAATCACAGACTCCAGCTTCAGAGCTCTCTTTACCCAAATCTTCTTTAGCCCACCAGCAGGTCCAAGGTGAAGGTCCACAGCTCTCTGAGACGATGGACTCTCCATCAGTCCTGCAGGAGTCCCAGGATAAAATGCTAGGGTCCCCTGAGGTGACTCCATCTTCATCATATGAAACCACTGACCTCACGAAGGTGGGAAAATCGTCCGTCTTCCAGGAGGCACAGACTCAAGGTCCAGAGCACCCTGGGAAAAGCTTTTCTACTAAGGAGCAAGAATCTTCCCAGCTGATAGAGAACCTTCAAGATTGTGTCACTAAAGCTCAAGGGGATCTACTCCACCTTCTCTCGAGAACTGGACACCTGTCCACTCTCAAAATCTCGAAAATATATAGGTTGCTATCTAAGAGTACAAAGAGGTATCATACTCATCATAAGAAACCTAACAGTAACAAGTCTGAAACCACTAAAACTGTTTTATCTTCTGCAACCCAGGAGGACGTCGTCCCTAAGATTCCTGAGCATCTTGAGGTAGTCATTTCTTCAACTCAGCCAGGCACCTCTTCTAAGCGTCCAGACTCTATAGCGTGGAGTTCTGAAGCTTTCCGAATTCAGACTCTGGAGAATCAGAAGGTGACAGTTTCACCAGGTCCCCATCATGTGAACACTCGTTCACTCTCAGCTGACATTTCAGCTCCACCCAGTGTGGGGGTTTTGAAGACAATACCTTCTCCAACCACACAGAAGAACAAGGTTCAACATTTTCATCAGAATCGGCCTTCTACAAATCAATATTTGACTGTAACTCCAGAACACACGGTGAAGACTAAACCCTCGACAACCCTGACAAGTACCAGTGCTACAGAACAGTCAAATATGACACTTATCACACCGTCTCGGAGTCCTTGTTCAAACCTGAGTGGAGTCACATTTCCACCTAAAAACAAGGACGTTACTGTAACTAAAGGCAGTTCAGTTATATCTCCCACCATGCAAGAGACTTCAGCTCAGTCTTCAAAGGCCTCCAAGAAAGCTGAGGTGAGAGTTATAACAAGTACCACTCTGACCACCCCCAGACAGGGAAGGCCTTCAGAACAGCGTCAGCATCAGCAGAGAGATCTTGGTAAATACACATCTGTACCTTTGTGCTTAGCTCCAGAACCAGAAACATCAGGAACAGCTCATTCTTCTCCGACTCAGTCTTCAACTGTGCCTTCTGTACGATGTAGTTCAGAAAAGGCAAATGCTGCTCCGACAACCCCCAGTGAGGAAATGCCTTCAGAACAGCCTCAGCATCAGCAGACAGATCTTGGGGAACTCACATCTCCACCTTTGTACGCTACTCCACAACCAGAAACATTGACGACACGTCATTCTTGTCTGATTCACTCTTCTGCCCAGCCTGCTGTACGACATGCTTCAGAAAAGGCACACGTAGATTTCCCTGAGCAACTGGAACAGAATGTCTCCATGACCTTTAACATATGTGAGCTCTGTACCTGCACAGATAAGACCCTCTCCTGCTCCGGTCTCAGTCCAGAGAAGAGGCTCCATAGAGTGCCTGTGCCAGGGCCCAACACCAACACCTTCACCGTCCTGTAAGAATCCCCTTTCCTCTGTTCTCTGCATTCTGCCTATTGACATAGAGAGCCTTTTCTTCAATGTCTCCCTGTGTCTGCCTCATCCCCCCCCAGCCCACGTTAAATGATTTCCGCTTTTTATCTTTTGTTAGTCAAAAGATATCCTTGTTCTCCTTATCTGTTGCTGCTGCTTTTCTAGTCTTTTGGTTATAATTGTCCGCACCCTCTTTCCTTCTCTGTTTTTATCTCACCATCAACTTATCCTTCATTTAATTCCTTAACCTTTGTTTCCTTTGTGCTACAGCCTTTTTTTTAAAAAAAAAAATAGTTTGTCCTCCTTATCTTTTATTGCTGGTGCCACAATCTTGTGCTTATGGACATGAATTCTGGAGCCAGATTGCCCGAGTTTGCATTTGTTAGCTTTGTTACCTTGGACAAGTTATTTAGCTCTGTGACTCAGTTCCCTTTTCTTGAGGTGGGGGTAATGGTAAGTTATCACCTCCTAATATTGTTGTGATACTTGTTGATTTTGATACTTATGAAGTTAGTACCTTGAAACAAGTTTAACATGAATCCCTATAGAGATGAGGCCAAGGTGGTGGAGAAGGGTTGACTGTGAGATCTAACCAGCTCCAATTGCAACAAAAGTAATACTATGAAATCTATGTAAATACTTTGGGCCAGAGTGATAGTACAGTAGGTAGGGCATTTGCCTTGCACGTGTTTCACCTAGTTCTGATCCCCGGCATCCCATATGGTCCCCTGAGCACCACTATCAGTGATTCCTGAGTGCGGAGCCTGGAGTCACACCTAAGTATTGCCGGGTGTGGCCTCCCCGTGAAACTATATACTTATATCGGGCAACTAGCATACACATGAATGCTGTCTGTATTCATTAATCTCTCATTTCAGAATTACAGTTGTTTACATCGACTTTCCATATAAAGCACCCATTTCCCTCAACCTAGCCACAACAATATGTCATCGGCTCTTAAACATGATGGTATTGGGGAGAAAGGGAATACACAAAAAGGAAAGGCAGCGTGTCACCAAGCACCAACAGAGGCACAGAAATGTACAGAATCTTGTCAGTTGTGGAAAGCTGCAGAGAGCTGACACAGAGCAACTTTAGCTGGGAATTAGAGGTTGATTTTTTTGGATCAAAAATTATTTATGTGCTGGGCATATAAAAAGCTGTGCACGTTTGGTATGATTTTTGTGTTTGGAGATATGTAATATGCTTGTAATATGAAACAGTTATGAATCTGTGCCTCCTTAAACATATCCCTCAACTTGTGGCTTAGACATCATAAAGCATCCAGAAGTCTTGAGTGGAAATGTTCACTAGGTGGATGGGATAGGTTTCTGTTTCAACATTTTCACCCTGAAAACTGTATGTAAACTGATTAGGTTTATATTTGGATTATGTACACATTTGCAGCTTATATACACATGTTGCTGAGCGAAGTTGACAAAACTAGATTCAAAGTGATCCACAGAGTTAGTGTTTAAAACTGAACTCAGGGAGCCAGAGTCCTAGGACAGTGGGTAGGGCTCTTGCGTTGCATGTGGCCAACCCAGGTTCAATCCCGGACACCTCATAGGGTCCCCCTCCATCACTGCCAGCAGTTCAATGAAAAATTATTGACCCTGAGCGCAGAGCCAGGGGCAAGTCCTGAGCACCATCCCCCCCTCCACCAACTTCATGCGTCTATACATGTGTAAATTCATGAACATATTCTCTTTGTTACAATAGGTCAGTAAACAGGATAAGGCGCAAAAATCCCACTTTCCCACTCTACCAGCTATATGACTGCCGCATGGTAACTTCTGTTACCATCTTGGGTTTCCTTCTACTCTCTTTCCTGTGCATTCCTCCCCACCCCCAATGAAGGTAATTCTTTGTGATTTGTTCTTTTCCTGAGGCACGTTGAATATATCTCTCCTCACTAGTCCCCCCTCATTTTCTAATTTCCCTAGTCTCTATCTAGAAATTTCTACTATCTTGAAATTTCAACAGAGAGCATTGACTTAAACCTTTGGTGTTTCCTGGCAATGTTTTAAAATATTTATTTGCTGATAATTTTGTTCATTTTTCTGTATATGATAATTATGAAATTATAATTTTCTCCTTTAATTTGCAGTAGGAGTTATAATAGGTGTGAGTTTGGAAAAATGGCTTACAGGCTAATTAGCTGGCAGTATTTATCTACTCCAGGAATTAGGAAGTTCAGATTGTGAGATATTTCATTGTTTGACCAGTCATCCCACGTCATGTTTTTAGTTGGGCAAAATGGGAAACTCATAGCTATGGAGATGAGCTGGAGTATTCTGTGTTTCTATGATTCTTTTACTTTCCTGTTCATTCTTTTCCTACCTGTTCAAGTCTGTGAACTGTGTTTCTTCACAGAGATTTCCAAGGAAACTCTATTTCTTCCATTGATGGAAATACATGGAAGACATACCCTTGGGTTGAGAAACTGTGAGTATATTCTCTCCAAATATGAATATTAAAAAATAATTGCACCATAAAATCCTCCTTAGTATACAATTTAAAAATCAATACCACATAGAAGGTATTTCACACTCATGTCCCAAAACAACCTCTATTAGTTATAATAGTTTACTTCTTTAAAAAATTTTGGTTTACCAAGCTCTTACGTTAAAAGTCTTTTTGTTTTCCATTCCATAACTGGTAGAGTTAATTGTATATACACACGCACATATACATATAAGTATATATTTTGGTGATGTAGATGGTTTTATTGAACTTATTTTAGAAAGATGTGAGAGGAGAACAAGAGAAGTTCTAGAGAGAGCACACAGAGATGAGCAAACTGGAAATGTGTTCACAGGAGAACATGGGCTTGAGTAGCAAGCCAACATGATTACTTTATTTATTTATTTATTTATTTATTTATTTATTTATGTAGAAGTACTATTTATTTAGCCACTGATTAGCTGATTGAATTGTGCATGAACTCCACCTTACTTTTTTTTTCATTTTTTATAATTTTATTTATTGAATCACCATGAGAGCAGTTACAAAGCTTTGGGGTCTAAGTCTCGGTCATACAATGAAACACCCATATCTTCACCAGTGCCCATTCTCCATCACCAAAAACCCCAGTATACCCCATCCCACACCCTCCCCCTACCTGTGGGGCAGATGATTTCCACATTACTCTCGCTCTACTTTGATCACATTCAATATTTTGACACCAGACCCACCATTATTATTTGAGATTTTACCCCAAGACTCAGATCTGCTGAAAAGGCAACAGTAGACAATTTGTGTTCTATTGCTGGTTATGAATAACATATGATGTTGCGTGGCTGTAGTAGGGTCATGTGATTTTGAAATTCTGAAATTTTAACACTTTTAAATCTGGAGGGATTTCCACCAAAAGCCACCGGATTTCGAGATTTGCTCCTGAGTCTCTGGGATCATGGCCGTTGAGCAGCTTGATCAGGAGCCAGAGAGGCTGTTCTTGGGCGATGACTTGGGGTCTCATTGGAACAGGGAGACTAGGACCGGCTCCACCCCCATCCTGTGAGGCCCAACAAGTTTCGTCACTGCGGGCCCAGACCTGACTGTCTAATGGCCTCTGGAGGATGATGGCCTCCAAGCCGCCAAGGGGGAGCAGGCGGAGGGACAACACCCTTTCCCCCCTGGGGTGGCCCGGCGACAGTAACCTACTGCGGAGTCTGGACGCATTTCTGCCAAAAGCCACTGAGTTTTGAGATTTGTTTCTGAGTCTCTGGGATCAAGGCTGTTAAGCAGCTTGATGAGGAGCCAGAGAGGCCGTTCGTGGGCGATGACTTGGGGTCTCGTTGGGGTGGGGAGGACAGGACCGGCTCCACCCCCATCCCGTGAGGCCCTGCGTGTCTTGTCACTGCAGGCCCAAACCTGACTGTCCAGTGGTCTCTGAAGGATGGTGGCCACTGGGCCGCCGGGGGGAACAGGTCAAGGCACGAAACCTATTCCCACCTGGGTTGGCCCAGCACCGGTAACCTACTGCAAGGACCGGACGCATTTCTGCCAAAAGCTGCTGGGTTTCGAGATTTGCTTCTGAGTCTCTGGGATCATGGCCATTAAGCAGTTCTTTCAGGAACCAGAGAGGCCGTGCCTCCAATTATATAGCTGAGCCGGAGGTGGTTTGTGGGGGTGTTTCCCACATACCTAACTTTTGGCCATTTACTTTCTTGGTAAACTTTGCCCGAAGTTTTTGGGGTCTGGCCAAAGGCACAGCAGCAATTTTGGGGTATCTGGAAGTCTGAAGGCGCCATCAGGTTGCTGATGCACTCGACTCACAGGTACATGATTACATTCTTCATTAAAAATTTTTAAATGATCCATAATGCGAAAGTAAATCTTCTGATTTGTTTTTTCTATAAATATAACAGCTACCACTTGATACTTTCACTTTATTTTGCTTTAGACTTCTTTCCTTTATGGTGCATAGAGGTTTACCCCATCTACTTAAAAAAGTGTATTGAAAGATGCTTTGATTTTTTTTTTTTTGGTCACATGTATTACCGCAGCACAGGGCCTTGTGAATATGGGCAGATAGGCCTGTTAAGTAGATATTTAGAGATGGATTTGTTGGCTGAAGAGTATATAGTTATAAAAATTTAATTGACCTCAAAATCGTTGTGCCAGTTCATGAAAGTATTGTTTCTCCATGCCCATCCACCTCTGGGCATTCTTTATTTGGGGGCTGCCCTGATGACTCAATAAAAGGGATCCCATCCATATTTTAATTTTATGGTTAGTACAACGGGTAGGGCATTTGCCTTGCATGGGGCCAACCTGGTCAACCCGAGTTTGATTCCTCCGCCCCTCTCGGAGAGCCCGGCAAGCTGCCGAGAGTATCTCGCTTGCCCGGCAGAGCCTGGCAAGCTACCCATGATGTATTCGATACATCTTTATTTGGGGGCTGCCCTGATGAATCAATAAAAGGGATCCCATCCATATTTTAATTTTATGGTTAGTACCCTCCCGTTGATCGTCGATTTGCTCGAGCGGGCCCAGTAACGTCTCCATTGGAGACTTTGTTGTTACTGTGTCTGGCATATCGAATACTCTCGGTAGCTTGCCGGGCTCTCCGAGAGGGGCGGAGGAATCGAACTCGGGTCGGCCATGTTGGCCGCGTGTAAGGCGAACGCCCTACCCGCTGTGCTATCGCTCCAGCCAAGTACAACGGGTAGGGCATTTGCCTTGCATGGGGCCAACCTGGTCAACCTGAGTTTGATTCCTCCGCCCCTCTCGGAGAGCCCGGCAAGCTGCCGAGAGTATCTCGCCTGCCCGGCAGAGCCTGGCAAGCTACCCATGATGTATTCGATATGCCAAACACAGTAACAACAAGTCTCACATGATGGAGACGTTACTGGGCCCGCTCGAGCAAATGGTTAGTACAACAGGTAGGGCCTTTGCCTTGCATGGGGCCAACCTGGTCAACCGAGTTTGATTCCTCCGCCCCTCTCAGAGAGCCTGGCAAGCTACGGTGAGTATCTCGCCCACACGGCAAAACCTTGCAAGCTACCCGTGATGTATTCAGTATGCCAAACACAGTAACAAATTTCACAATGTTACTGGTCCTGCTCGAGCAAATCGATGAACAGTGGGAGGACAGTGACAGTGCTATTAAATAACACATATTGACATACCTAATAGCCACCTGTATGTCTAACAACTAACTTCAAATTTGTGATGAAGAACCAAAAGATTGAGATGTCTCTAACAAATGCGATGTGAAAAATATCTGTGGTTTGTATTAGAGGCCAAATGAACAATTTGCTAATCTGTCATTGTCAGTTGACATTCCTAATATGAGAAATGACCATTTTAGGGCCAGAGCGGTAGTACTGTGGGTAGGGTTTTTGCTTTGCATATGGCCTCCAGGATTCAATTCCCAGCACCCCATAGGGCCCTCCAGCCCTGCCAGGAGTGATCCCTGAGCACAGAGCCAGGAATAAGCCATGAGCACAGCCAGGCGTGATCTAAAACCAAAACCAAAGGCTGTTTCTGTGCGTTGGAAATAATTGTATTTTCATCCAGGCTATGAGCCTCAGACCTAGAGAGAAAGTCTACAAATGGAAATCGCTTGCATACTTTTCTAAACATTAAAAAAAGTAGAATTTTTTTTAAATAATTTTGCTCTGGTGCCACACAGTGGTGTGCAGGGGTTATCCTTAGTTCTGAAAGGTGAAATTTTTCTAAACAAAAGGGGACATTGGAGCAGGGAATCTAAACCATAATTGGCAGCAATTATCGGTTTCCAACATGGGAGTCCTCAACAGACTATACAAACTTTCCAGTTCTGGGGCCTGGGCTGGGGGCAAACCGTGTGGAGACTCCCTTTTACATTTGATCCTTATAAGGTAAAGGAGGGAAGAGAAGCCGAATTTCAAGTCTTTGTTTGAAAATCTTGGATAGCTTTCCTGCCCTCTGGTCCTGCCTTCCAAGGCAACCCAATTCCATGGACCAGTATCAAATTCTCTGCCTCTGGAAAGGCTTTAAGCTTTGCAGACTGCTGACCTGAGTTTGAGCACCCCATATGGTCCCTTGAGCACCACCAGGAATGATCCCTGAGCGAAGAGCCAGGAGTAACCACTGAGCACTTCTGGGTGTGGCCCCACAACAAAACAAAGCACCGAAGAAACCCCCCAAATAATGTTCGTTCAAGTCAGGGGTGTGTGTCGGAGGAGGGTGTGATTGGTAGGGGCACGCTTGGGGCCTCTGGGAAGCTGGGTTCCTTGTCAGGAACGTGTCTTGGGGCCTTCGCTTTATTGGCCTGCTCTTTTTTGTTGGGGGGGGGGGGTGCACAGCTACTGGTTATGGGCTGACTCCTGGCAGACGTGGGGGATCTATGGGGTGCCGGGTCCGACCCAGGTAAGCCACGTGCAAGGCAAAAACCCTCCCCACTGTACTATTGCTCTGGGCCCAAATGTCATGTGCACTTTGTGCACGTTTTCCTTCCCAGAACAAAACAACTTAATGGTGTTAAGTTTCTTAGGGCTTCCTTTCCAGACTTAATTTCATTCTTCAGGGGGGACTCAGAGTAATGTTTGGGAAGAGAGCAGGGAGTGGCAGCCCTGTGTTTCTGGTGTCACACAGAATTTGGATCTGACAGATTTTGTGACCTAGAGAATATGCTTTATATAGGTTACTTGGTGAGAAGAGTCAATAGCTGTGTTCGTGTTCATGATGCATCTAGGTGAGGACAAAATAAAGAGTTTAAACAGAGGCCACTATCCCTAAGTTAAATAAGAATTGGGATATTTAGATAGCACCATTATTATGTGTAAGAATAGTCCTGTGCACAGCTGCACACGCTAGGGGAAAAGGCAGCTCAGCTAGAGAAGGGAGCACCAAATAAAGGGCGTCGGGTGGTTCTTCTCAGGATGGGAAATGCATGATGAGAGTAGACTATAGACCGAACAAGATTGCCACTCAATGTCTCTTTTGCAAACCACAGCACTCAAAAGGAGAGAGATAAGAAAAGGGATGCCCTGCCACAGAGGTAGGGTGGGATGGGAGGATGGGGGGTGGGAGGGATACTGGGACTGGTTGTGGTGGAGAATGGGCACTGGTGGAGGGATGGGTATTCAATCATTGTATAACTGAAACCCAAGCACAGAAATTTGTAAGTCTACAGCTGTACCTCATGGTGTTTCACTAATAAAAATTTAAGAAAAAAAATAGTCCTATGTAATAAATAGTCATAGTTATTTTGCATTTTAGACCAGAAATAATTTTTCCATTTTTCAGAATACTCAGTGACAATTCTTTGGCAGAATTACGTAAGGATTCATTTGAAGCCCTTCCAAACCTCAAGTACTTGTAAGTTAATCATTTATTTATGAATTTTTAGCTCTGTTTTTAAAACAAGGGGGTGTGCAAGTTAATCTTCATCCTTTTTTCCAGCAATAAAATTTTGTAGTTTTGTAAGTATGGCATTAAAAACCTCTCATGTCATTTCTGACAGTAAATTACATTTGCATATATATATATATGATGTCGGTGGGCCCCACGGATGACTTATGTGAAGCGGGGTCTCGCAGAAAGGAATTTCAGGAGTAGACAAGCAGTGAGTGAAGTTAATGGATTTTATTTGTAGGATTTTTAGGTGCGGAGGGGGAGAGAGAGAGAGAGAAAGCGAGAGAGAGAGTAAAGTTAGACACGAAAGAATGAAAGTACACATCTGAAGAGGGGAGATGCGGGCCACACATGTGCTCAGACACCACATGTGCTCGGCCACGTGGGCGCAAGCAGCACATGGGCTCAGGCAGCATATGTGCGCCCTTCCTTTGTTCCAGGTGGCCTTTATAGGGTTTCTCCAGCCTGTCCCCACGTGAGGCCTCTTTCCAGGTGAAAGTCCGTTGCTAAGGAGGTTACCAGGGAGGTCCAAAAAGAGGAATTCCGTGGGGAGGCCTATATCCTGAGGGTCTGGTCTTATCAGGCCTTTGTTTTCTGTGTCCGCAAGGTGGGTCATTCCTAGAATTCTTCTTCCATGAAACTTTGTTTCATTGCAAAGGGCCTTTCCCTATCTACCTGCCTACATCATATATATATATGGACATATATGAAAAAAAAAACTTTAGGCTTACTCTTCAAGCCCATGTTCTCCCTGGATCATGTAATTTGCTTACTTGTCCTCATGTCTCTTTGTCTGCTTTTTCTGCTCTGAGAAGCCGTGTTATCTCATGAACACATTCTTTCTCTTTCCCACCCCCCACATCTTTCTAAGAAAGTTTCTTTCGATGTAAACTATCTTGCTTCACAAAAGTGTTTTTCAAACTTTACTAATAGATGAAAAGTACTTATATCTGCTCCACCCATAGAAACCTAAGTGCTAATATACCATCTCCTCCGTGTTCATATAGAGTTCCTTTATGGATCAAATCCAATGCATGGTCCAGTTTTACCTGGCCCATTAATTTAAGAATTGTTTTTGTCAGCTGAGGAGATTGCACAAATGATGAGTGTGATGCTTTGCAACAGGAGGCCCGGGTTGGATTTGCAGCAGGACACAGTTCTGGGCTCCCCAGTCCCTGACTCCCAGTAATATCCCTGAAGTAGACCCTGAGCACTACTAAATAAAAACAAAAATCTATGCAAATATGTTCGTTTTTATTTTTTAATATTTATTTATTATTTATTGCTTTTTGGATCACACTCAGCGATACTCAGGGGATACTCCTGGCTCTGCACTCAGGAATTACTCCTGGCAATGCTGGGGGGACCATATGAGATGCTGGGGATCAAACCCGGGTCAGCTGCGTGCAGTGCAAGGCCAACGCCCCACTATCTCTCCTGCCCATGTTTTATTTATTTTTTAATTTTGTGTATGAAGCAAGGTAGTTTTTATTTAAACTTATTTAGAAAGATGTGAGGGAGAGAAAGTAAGAAGTCTGTGTTCAAGAGAGAACACAGGCTCTCCAGAGTGGAAAAAAGCAAGCAAAGAAACAGACAGAAACAAGTGAGATATTTAGGGCATGAAGAGCAAGCCAGGTGCTTTTATTCAATCCTTCCAAAAGGGTTGTTTTTTCCTGGAATTTTGCATACTAAAACTTCATCTGGGTGTTTTCACAGGAATGCCTTACACTGTTGATATTCTCTTTGTTATCTCATGGATTCTTGTGTAACTTCTTCTCTGAGGGGACCAGCCTTTTCTGGGTGGGGCCTTGGAATTTTGCATCCTGCTGATATCTCAGTTTCTCTTCAAAGAGCTCAGAATTTGTATGTCAAATGATGTGATTGTCCAGCTCTTGGGATGCATGCAAGGCAAAGGCCCCACCAGCTGTACTATTGCTTCAGCCCATGGTTTTATTGATTTTGTTTTTTAATTTTGTGTGTGAAGCAAGGTAGCTTTTATTAAAACTTACTTAGAAAGATGTGAGGATTTGTATTTCAAATGATGTGATGGACAAGCTCTTGGGCTACTTTGGGGCTAGAGAATTTCTTCTTTAGTTTTATTATTCCCCCAAAGAACTTTCCAGGGCCCCTCACCCTGCCAGCTTGCACCAGCAGGAACTGGAAAGCAGTCCCAGCCTCATCACAGGCAACGTGGTTCACCGCCTGTCCCTTGCAGGAAAGAATTTAAAGAGGTGCAACAGTGAAGCAGCATAGATTTATTGGATGTAAGGTGCTTAGGAAGATGTGGGAGGAGAGAAAGGAGGGTGATGTTGGAGAGGGAGCACCAGCTTTTCCAGCGTGAAAGTGAAAAAGCAAAGGAACATAGAGACTAGCAAGTGAGATACATGGGAGAGCACAGCTTGAAGAGCAAAAGAAAACTATGTGTTTGTAAAATCTACATTTGTGTTTTTCTGTAAAAAAAAGAAAAATTAAAATATGCTCTGCAAAATCTAGAATATTATTATTTTTAAATTTCTGGCCTTTCTACAAAACTTTTAAAAGCTGGTTTAATAAAAAATTATTTAAAAAATAAAATAAAAATAAACCTGAATTATAAAGAAAATAAAGAACTTGAATGCCATTAGCCTAGAATTTTAAAAAATTTTTAGTTTTCTCATTGTGATTTGCAATACAACATTCTAACACCCTATGTCAACATATTTTCGAATTACCTATGACTTAAACGAACATTTATATGGGAAATACGAGGCTAATACAGATGGATTCTATAGCAGTAGTATTAAGAGCAGAGGAGGTTATCACGAGGAGAGTTCTGGTGATAAAAATTCCAGTGTAGGAAATGTTGGGCGATTGTCAGACAGACATCTTGGACAGAATCTCGTAAAAAGAGAGCAGGAGAGAGGTAAAACACAGGAAAAACACCTCAGTGCTCTCAGAAGACCAAGAGAAAGACGAGGGACATAGACCCAGGTGTTGTAAGCCAGGGCTAGCATGCTGAGCTTCCTCGTGCCCACCTGCGCTGGGGCACTCAGGCCTGTAGCAGATCACTGGGTGGGCCTGTGAAATCCCCCACCACAGTTCCTGCTTCAGTTGATTTGGAGTAGGTTGGTTTGAGAATAGGCGTCTTCAATCCGTTCCCAAGTGAGGCTGGTACTTGAGAAGGTTAATACATGACGGTGTGCATTGTGTGTTGGAAAAGGAAATACTGGGCCTTGCTTCTGCACATGGGTGACCCAGGTTTGATCCGTAGCACCATGCAAGATCCCTTGAGCACCCTCAGAGTGATCTGTGTGCAGTCAGGAGTAAGCCCTGAGAACTGCCAAGGAAGGAAGGAGACCAAGAAGGGAGGGAGGCAAGAGAAGAAGAGGGATGAGCTAGGAGATAGGTATACCCATCTTGGTCATATGTGAAAGAACTTAAGTAGAATTCAAAGATACAGAACAGTCACTTGTAGTCAAATCAAAGTTCAGTACTCTGATTTTCTTTGTTCCACCACTGTACAATTAAAGCAGTGAAATTCATGGAATATTCAGAAAATGTAGAACCAAAAATTGAATTTCTATGATGATAGAAAAGTTTAATTCTAAATTAGTTCAAAGTTCTGTCTAAAAGGATTTTCATATTATATGAAAAAGGCTAATTTTTTCTAGGCCAGTTTCTGTTAGCCTAGAAAACAGCTACACAGGAAGGTATATAAACATGAGACTGTTCATTTGAATATTGAAATAACTATATTAAATATAGTAATTTTACATGAAGATAAAAAACTCAACCCCTTCTAGAACATAAAATCACCTCATCAATTCTCTGCTCCGAGAAAAGTTTAACTCCAATATTAGAACCAAGTAGTCGTACATTTTATTCATGAAGATGTGTGGTTGAGAAAAAGGAAAGCCAGGTTAGGGATTCTGGAACATTCAGATCTACTCATTCAATATTTATTTTGACTTCTACTAGTTATTCCAAAAATTAGATACTTGGTAGTTAATTGAAGCAATATTTTCCCTTTCCTTTCCCTAGAGACTTATCCTGCAATAAAATACAGTTTATTGAAAGGCGGACATTTGAAGCAGTACCGTATTTGCAATCTGTGTAAGTTCAAAATATGCTTCATTATTTTTGGATTTTTTTTTTTTTTGCTTTTTGGGTAATACCTGGTGATGCACAGGGGTTACTCCTGGCTCATGCACTCAGGAATTACTCCTGGTGGTGCTCAGGGGACCATATGGGATGCTGAGAATCGAACCCGAGTTGGCCACGTGCAAGGCAAACGCCCTACCCGCTGTACTATCACTCCAGCCCCTATTTTTGGAATTTTTGTAACACTTAATTGTCAGCCTCTATTATTCAATTTAATATTATTAGAACATTAAAAGTGGCTACTAGAACTGTACAGCAAATCCTTTTTTGCCTGTAAGTAACGATTACAATGGCCCTCAACCAGGATGATTTTGTACTCATATGACCCTTGATAGTGTCTCCAGGTAGTTTTTTTATTGTTTTGATTGCCAGATCTGTAATGATGCTGTTGGTGTCTAGTAAGCAGAGGCCTCCAGATACACTGCTGAATATCTACAATGTACTGGACAGCGCCCCCCCCCCCCCCCAGTTATCCAGCCCCCATGTGGTAGTAGTGCTGAAGTCATGAATCCCTGTCCTAGAGAACTTAATTACTTAAGTATTTGTTAAAATACTTAATACAAAATTTGCTATTTTGCGTCTAATGCCCCCACAGCATCATAAACATCAAAGAATAAACCTTAAGCTTAGGTCGTCCACAGTGATGTTTAGCACATGAAATGTGCTTATGTAAATTAGAAGTTATGCTGGGTGTGACCCAAAAACCAAAAAAAAAAAATTCGTCCTTCTTCTTCCTTCTTCTCTCTTCCTTCTTCCTTCTTCTTCTTTCTTCTGCTGCTGCCACTGCTTTTATCTTTTTTTTTTCTTTTTTTTCTTTGGTAGGAATCTTAGTTGCAATTTAATCACCGAACTGAGCTTTGGAACGTTTCAGTCCTGGCATGAAATGCAGTTTTTACACAAAATGTAAGTGAAAAAGCAGATAAATATATATATAATAAAACTGCATAACCTCATCGTACAGTTATTATTAGCTAAGTGGCATAAGGCCAGTGTGAACTCTAACAAGTGTGTCTTGAGATCAGTCCCTTTTTTCAAATGAGGAAACTAAGGAACGAAGAGGCCAAGAGATTTGCATGGCGCATGGCATGCTTTGCTTTTACCTGTTACTGATGATTGGCATGAGCACTAACAGAAAGGCATCCGTTAGCATTGTCTTGTGATTCCCACTGGTGCAGCGCTGACCTGTGAATGAGGCTTTAAATTCCCAGTTTAATTCCAGCTTTGGTTCCTGTTCATGTGCAAAGTTCCTAACCACTTAAATGTATGCAACAAAGAGCTGGGAAGAACTAGATATAGCAGTTTTTACTGGGAGTTGGCACGGAAGGAAAGTTATGGATTCGTTCATAGCTGGTAGCTTCTTTCACATGGTGAAGCAGAAGAGTTCCTGAACGTCTGTCTTAGCATATTTCCCTCCTAAGAATCTCGAACATTATTTTGAAGAAAAAAATGATATATATACAAATTGAATTCACTGTGCTCAGTATAAACCTTTGAGCTAGGGCAAAAGGTAGAAAAAGCTATGGTAAAGACGTTCAATAGGCTTCACACCTGGCAGTGCTGGGGAGGGACCAGGATCACTCCTGGCAAAGCTGGCATCACACTGGCCAGCTGACCTAGAAGGAGGCCATGTATGGCACCTGGAGTTCTGTGGTGCGGTGGAATCAAACTCTGGGCCTTATACATGGCAGACATGTGCTCTATCTCAAACTATCTCTCTGACCCCAGAAGCGTTTGTGTTACGTCAGACTGAGTGAAAAGTATTCATCAAAAATACGTTGCTGTTGTCTAATTTCATTATGCTTACTTTTCTGATTACTCGTCTGTAAGAAGTCTGTGGTTTTATACCCTTTGAGTGAAAAGTTCTCTCTGATTTCTCTGATTTGATGTGACACAAGCAGATCAAAGTTCAGAGACATAAAGGAAATTCTGTACTCAAGCAGAAGATCCTCCTTTGAAAACGAGTCTTCACCTGCTTGTGTTTCAGAAATCCAGTTTTACACAGTTTCCTGCAGATTCGATGAAGGTAGGGCAGGAAGGCAGCTCGGTGATTCTTCATGGGTATAGACCTGAGTTGACTCCCCGGAAGACCAGTTTAGTAAGGAGCAGGCTTAGAGATAATAGTTACCTCATTGTTTTAATGCCGCATTTTTACTAAGCATTTTATTATACCAGGCATCATAAGAACCTCAGTTTCGGTATAGTTTTATAGGAGACGGTGGGGGTTGGGGGGCGGGGAAACGCATCATAGTTCATAAAAGTTAAGACATTCAAGAACATTCACAGAGTGACATTTCTTCTGAGCGTCAGGCCTGTCTATACAGAAGAAGAAAGCAGGGTGTTTGTCACCAAGAACCTTAAACACTGAAGGAAAGAAGACAGATGCTGGTGGGAAAGCATGAGAGCCCCACTGCTAGTCCAGACGGCAGGGTAACAAGATAGCGGGATGACACTGGAGATAACGGTGGGTGGTATACTAAGAAAGACTCATGATGAATGAGGTTGAGGAGACAGCTCAAAGAGCTGGAGCACACGCTTTGCACTTCCGGGAGTGACCCCCATTCACACCTCAGAATGTGGCCCCCCAAAATGAGAAGAAAACCCAACAAATTGAAAATGGAGAAGGTGATGATTTATTTGCATTGCAGCACAGCGGTAGGGCGTTTGCCTTGTGCGCAGCCGGCCCAGCCGAGCCAGGTTCGATTCCTCCGCCCCTCTCGGAAAGCCCGGCAAGCTACCGAGAGTATCTCGCCCGCACAGCAAAGCCTGTCGAGCTACCCGTGACGTATTCAATATTCAATTCAGTAACAACAAGTCTCAAAATGGAGACGTTACTGGACCCGCTCAAGCAAATCCATGAACAACGGGAGGACAGAAATACGGAAATACTGAAATTTTACTCTGAAATGAGAGAAAAAGGTAATGAAAGAATCAGAGATACCTGGAAAGAAATGATCATCCCTGGCATGTGATTTAAATAGAACTAGCTCCTATGACCAATTCGGTCAGCTCAACAGATTGTCACGGAGTCTGGGGAGATAGTGCACGCTTTAATGCTGGAGCCCGAGGGTCAAGCCCCTGCACGACATGGTTCACCAGCACTGCACCAAGTGACCCCCAAACACCAGTGATGGCACTACCCACCCCAGCACCGAATGTGTTGGGGCCCGAATGTTTTGGGGGGTGGGCTCCTTTCTTTGGGTCCTAAAGGTAAAGGTAAATGTAAAGGCCCTCCCGTTGATCGTCGATTTGCTCGAGCGGGCCCAGTAACGTCTCCATTGGAGACTTTGTTGTTACTGTGTCTGGCATATCGAATACTCTCGGTAGCTTGCCAGGCTCTCCGAGAGGGGCGGAGGAATCGAACTCGGGTCGGCCATGTTGGCCGCTTGTAAGGCGAACGCCCTACCGCTGGGCTATCGCTCCAGCCCTAATTTTTCTAAATGACCAAGCTCATTCCTTTCAGGTACAATTTTCCTGTGTGATCAAAACTCTGTGACTGGAGCACAATTACCGTGGATGCGCGGCTTGTGTTGCACATGGATGACCTGGGTTTAAGCCTCAGCACCCCACAGGGTCTCCCTGAGCTTAGCCAGTAGTAAGGCCTGAGCACCCTGCCATGTGTAGCCCAAAAACAACAAGGGGAAAAAAAGCTGTTGTTACATCTCTTTCCAAAGGCCAGGGATGCTAGTCCTTCAGTTACGTCACTTTATTGCCTGTCTGACAAATGACTGGGTTGATTAGAAGCTGGGTTGATCATGATTTACTCCCTGCATTAAATATACCTGGGAAGAGCTCGAGATGAGAGCCAGAGAGAGAGCTCAGTGGGCTGAGGACCCGTCAGATGTAATCAACCTAAGCACAAAAGAAAACAGGCCCAGCTGAGGTGAATTGATGAGGAAGCTGAACTCCAAACCTTACTTGCAAGATCTCGGGGAAGATCCCAGCAATTTTTATATTCATAACTTTACATTTCATTTATTTTTTTAAGCAGGGTTTTAGTAAACTATATAAAATTCAGGACCCACAAAGCCTTGCTTCTTCGCGGGTTGCAGGTAGTTATCACTCAGTGAGTTTCTTGAATGAAGCATCTATAATATTAATAAACACTGAGAGGGGAACACATTATCAGTTGAATGAGTAACAGGTCACCTACAATAAGGTAAAGGTAAAGGTAAAGGCCCTCCCGTTGATCGTCGATTTGCTCGAGCGGGCCCAGTAACGTCTCCATTGGAGACTTTGTTGTTACTGTGTCTGGCATATCCAATACTCTCGGCAGCTTGCCGGGCTCTCCGAGAGGGGCGGAGGAATCGAACTCGGGTCAGCCATGTTGGCCGCTCGTAAGGCGAACGCCCTACCCGCTGTGCTATCGCTCCAGCCCAAATGCCATAATAATTTGCAACTAAATTAATAAATTTTCCATAAATTGCCAGAATATTTATAAGATGCCATTTTTTAAAAAAACTTTTATTAGTGAAACACCATGAGGTACAGTTGTAGACTTACAGATTTCTGTGCTTGGGTTTCAGGTATACAACGAGTACCCATCCCTCCACCAGTGCCCATTTTCCACCACCACGGATCCCAGTATCCCTCCCACCCCCTATGTCCCCCATCCCACCCTGCCTCTGTGACAGGGCATTCCCCTTTGTTCTCTCTCTCCTTTTGGGTGCTGTGGTTTGCAAAAGAGGCATTGAGTGGCAATCATGTTCGGTCTATAGTCTACTTTCAGCATGCATCCTCCATCCTGGGAGGATCCTCCCAAAATCCTTTATTTGGTGCTCCCTTCTCTATCTGAGCTAACTTTTCCCCTAGCATGTGTGGCTGGCCTCCAAGCCATGGAGTAAACCTCCTGGTACTTACCTCAGCTATTCCTGGGTGTTAGTCTCCTATTTTGTTTGTTACTTTATGTTCCCCCGATGAATGCAGTCCTTCTATGTCTGTCCCTCTCTTTCTGACTCATTTCACTTAGCATGATACTTTCCATGTAGTACCACTTGTATGTAAATTTCATGACTTCATCTTTTCTAACAGCTGCATAGTACTCCATTGTGTAGATGTACCAAAGTTTCTTTAACCAGTCATCTGTTCTCGGGCACTCAGGTTTTTTCCAGATTCTGTCTATTGTAAAGAGTGCTGCAATGAACAAACAAGTGCAGATGTCACTGCGGCTATGCTTGTTTCCCTCTCTGGGATATATTCCCGGGAATGGTATTGCTGGGTCAAATGGGAGCTAAATTTCTAAATTTTGGGGAATTGACCATTGTTTTTGAAAGGGTCGTAATCATATCTCTTACAGATGAAATCAGGAATGAAGTATGTTATGGAAATCCAACAGTGTTTGCTAATCCTAAATGTTCAGTTTTGTTTTTTTTCCTTTTGCTTATGTTTATGGGCCAAACCACCATGCTCAGGGGTTGTTCCTGGCTCTCCTCTCCGCGATTACTCCTGGTGGTGCCTGGGGGACCATATGGGATACCAGGGATCAAACCCAGGTCAGCTGTGTGCAAGGCAAACGTCCTACCTGCTGTACGATTGCTCTGGTCCCAAGTAACTTTTTTTTCTCCTTCTGACTTTCAAGTGTTTCTTCATTCACCTACACAGGTCTAGACTGCTGGCTCGTTTAAACAATTCTTTTAGTCATTTCGTCGGTTCGAACGATACAAGTTCCATGATGGTAGCAACTGAAGACTTGACAAAGTACAAAGGTGCTGCCGTACTCAGACAGAGCATGTGGACACTCTGGCTTGTTTGTGGAACTTCAGTATTTTGCCAAGACATAAGAACTAAGATAGAACAGAGGAAACCCAAAACTTGTTCCCACTGACCACGTGACCCCACTGTGGAGATGATCAGTGAGGTGGGGAGCTGCACTGTGAAGGCAGACGGAGCTGTGGTCAGGGCGAAGC